CCGCGAGCGGAGCTGGCAAAAGATTGGATCGTTGCCGCCGCTTCGAGCACTGGGGCTGACGATTACTCTGACCTGTGATTATGCTTCGGGGCTCTCGCCCATCCCGCCGACCCCCTGCCCCGGCCCTGTCTGGAGGCCAACGTGGCGTGTTCCGCTGGCGCCGCGATGCTGTGGAGGGCATCATAAGGTCTCGAGGCCCCCTAGGAGGGCTCCGCCCGGGGTCAGACGCTTCTCGACGGGCCCCGCCAACGGCTCATCATTCGCAAGTTGAGCCGCGTGTCGCGGGTTATAGCGACGCACGATGATGAGGAATCTTCATTGGGGGAAGTCACGGGGCCCGCGTGGGCCCAGCACCCTCAAACCCCGCAGGCTGGTGAATATTTTGCGAGAGGCATGGCTGACATTATGGTCAAGCATGCTTCTAGGCTCTTCTCGGATTGTTTGAATGCTGTTAAACGCTCTAATCTCCCGCCTGCAGACAGGCTCTCTGGCGAGCGGATGCACGGCGGCATTCCGCTGGAAACCAATGCTCGAGAGGGCCCCTTGCTTAGCGGTTCCATTAGGGTCGCCGCTCACAAAGACATCGACGAAGAAGGCGTCGACGCCCACGAGCGCGTCTGCCGCAAGCGCAACAACGACGCAGACGTTGCCGCCAAAGCAGCTTCGCCGTTTCACCCTTCCAACGCCGACGGCAACGATGCAGTCTGCAAGCAGATCAATACAGCGAAAGCTGTCTGCAGGTTAGCGGCCAAAGTGCTTTTGCAGTGGCTCCGCCTCGACCTGTCCGACGCGGCGCATCTCCCCCACACCCGCCCCCCTAGGGTGTCCTTCGACAAGACGGGCCACGTGGGTCCCCTGGCCTGGTCTTTGGCGCCGTCGAGTCTGTCTGCCGGGCCACGGGCCCGACGAAGAGCCCGAGCCTGGAGCGCGCGCGCAGGAGCAAACTGGAGCAAACTGGATGAAGGAGCGTCGGTCTCGCCGCGCCACACAGCGTCGGCCTCTGCCCCGAAGTGGTCGCACCCGCCTGCTTGTGCGCATTAAATGTCAATATCACTGCACCGGTGCCAGAGTTGATGGGCCAGGTAAACCTTGCAATGAGAGGCCCTCCTGGGATGTTGACTGTTCTTGGAGAGTCCTCTGCCACGGCCCCCATCCTAACCCCAGGAAGCGCGCTGCTATCGTCAACGCTCACAGGATATGCGAATTGCGTGGGTCTCTCTCAGAAGCTCCCGCTGGTAATTCTTATGGATCCGTTTCTGGTTTCGACCCTGCAACTTCCCCCACGCGCGACCTCCTCGCCCCCCCAGGCAACGCGCGCGGAAACCTGAACGGATGGCTCCGACCCGAGGTCGGCGCTGAGCGTCTGGAGGACGGTGGCGCGGGAGCTCCAAGTGCCGCGCCGAATGCTGCCAGCCGCGCGGAGGGTGTTCGTTGCGACGAAGACCGACAGCTGGACGCCCGCGGGTCTTTCTGGCACGGCCTGGACGGCCAGTCCTTGCACTCGCTGTCTTCAGACCTGCCCGATGATAGCGGCGGGGGGCTGGAGGGGGAGGGGGGGGCGCTTCAGACTCTGACTAGAGCCACCATTGCGAGCTCACCTTTCTTTGTTTATTCGTGTTCCGTCGTCACTGGACCTGCGCGGCGGGTCCGATCCAGGGTCTTTGCGTCGTCCTTTCCGGCGGCGCTGGTGACGCGCAGCCAGCCCTGGAACTCGGGCCGATGGGTTCTGGCAGGCAGGCGTCGCTGGCCGTCCTTTTCACCGCTGCGTCCATGGCCACCTCCTCCCGTTGCGCGGCCGTGTGGCGCTGGAGGTAATTATCCCCCTGCGGTGACAGCTGCTCAGGGGGCCGCTCTTCTCTCTTATTCAGCGGGTGTTGGGCGTGTGCGGCGGGTTCGATATGGGGTCTTGCGTCGTCCTGTTTGGCGGTGCTGGTGTCTCGCAGCCAACCCTGGAACTCGGGCCGCGGGGTTCCGCCAGGCGGGCGTTGCTGGCCGTCCTTATCACTGCCGCGTGGGTCCACATCACCCTGATTGCACGGCCGTGGGGCGCTGGAGGTAATGCTCCCCCTGCGGTGACCGCTGCTCAGGGGGCCGCTATTTTTTCTTTGGCTGCGGTAGCTGGGCTCACGTGGCGGGCTCGATCTGGGGTCTTTGTGTCGTGCTGTTTGGCGGTGCACTGACGCGCAGCCAGCCCTGGAATTCAGGCCGAAGGGTTCCGCCAGGCAGGCGTTGCTGGCCGTCCTTTTTTCACTGTCGCGTGCTGTCCGCGTCGCCCTGTTGCACGGCCGTGGGGTGTTGGAGGTACTTCTCCCCCTGCGGTGACCGTTGCACAAGGGGGCCGCCAGCGTTTTCTGTTGTGTGCGTTGGGGGACGGCGTTGCGCGGAGGGGCTCGGCCCTTCGCCCCACTGCGGCACAACCTGCTGCCCGACGCGGAGCCCTTCGGCGAGCAGGCGGCGGCGGCGGCGGCGCCCTGCCTCGCGGAGGAGCCCTTCGGCGAGA